CCCCCTGTCGCCGATCCATCGTGCAATGTGAACACAGCAGCGACTGAATGCCAGATAGTCACGCAGTGTGAAAACAACGGCGATCCGACGAGTGTGAAAATCGTGCCGTGTGAACTCGGCATGAGTGGTTTTGCTGTCTTTCTGCAAGCACAAGGTTCATCTCACCATGTTGATTAGATCATCTGTAATTAAATACATGCATGTACGTAACGACCTGTTCAATCGCTATAGAGTCAGATTTCCCTGCTAATTCTAACTTTGGCCTGTGTTATGAAGTGTAATGTTTAGATTGGACAGTTAAAGTCCTTCGTCAAGGGCATTCTTTTGTTCGGACGCCCATTTCCATTTTATTGTTATTGTTGTTAGTATGTGTGTGTGTTTCTGTTAAACAACTGAAGCCTTGTCGAAATAATAACAAATAAACTATATTGCACAATGACTAGTAGTAGTTTCTCTTTTATTATTTTAGGTAACTCAGAGTGATGCTCCATGTGTTTTTGTAATGTCATAATTACGTCTAATCACTTTCATCTGCAGAAAACACTTTACACTGAAAACACAGGAGGAACACACTGACCTGGATGCAGCTGTTTTTTTGTCTAGATATTAATTTGTCATTTAAGTAGGCGACATGAATTAGAGGATTTTTAAAAAATAATTGCAATTATTATTATTTTTAAATTCATCAAATAAAAAGCTTGTTTAAGAGGATTTTGTTTTTTATATCACTGTGACTTAATTAATAAATGTGATAAATGTTGTTTATCTACTCTTTTATAGAAGATTTCAATGATCTCTGTCATTTTTGTGGACTACACAATGACGCAAGTGATTCAGACGTAACACCTGCTTGGTTTGGGCGCTTTTTATTTTATTTTGTAAATTAAACCTAGTATTATCTTATGTTTGGTCCTTGCTAAACTGGCAGAAGTGGTTACAGATTATTTTAATCTAATTTTGAGACAATTATGGTTATTTAACATATTGTATGATCTCTCAGATGTGATGGATGTGCGGGTGCTATCACCAGTTAATAAAGAATATTATTGCCCAGCGTGTATTATCTGAGTCAGTATATTATGAACATTTTGTAAATAGTTTTTGCTTGGTTTTCAAAATTGCACTTGTATTTACTTTTTTTTTGTTTCTAAGATTGTATATTTTAGTTTGTATGGTTTAAAAATTGCTTTTCTGTTGTACTGTATTGTACTATTGTATTTTTAAAAAGTGATTCATTTATTTTTGACTGTGATTTCAGGGCATGTAAGTAACCATAGCAACTTGCTCTGTGAAGATAACCTGCTCCGGAGCAGCTTCTGTTCCAGGGTTAGTTCACTTCAGCACACGCCTGATCTACTGACGAGCCTTCAGTGGGCTGACAGATAGCGCTAGATGTATAACAGTTATCTGTATAAATTATAAAACACTATGACAAGGTAATGTTTAATTTATTATATTTTATATATTTATTTATTACATTTTATATTATCATCTCACACATGGATCGACATGTCTAAATTCTAAATCAGAATACATATCTATGACTTAATATATAATGAGCATCAAACAAACAATATAATTAATATTCTCAAGAATTAAAGATTAAACGGGAAAAAAATTATTACACAACCATCCATTAGGTGGCGATATGCACTAAGCATGTAAACTAAATAATAAAAGATACTCATCGGGCAACATAGTTTATTTGTTATTATTTCGACAAGGCTCAAGTCGTTTGACAGAAACACACACACACACACACTCACTCACTCACTCACTCACTCACTCACACACACACACTCACTCACACACACAC